CTTGACCTTGGATACAACATTTGGGAAAACTATTGCACCACAAGGTTATATATTTTTCACTTTTTCTCTCACTTCTCTCACCAATTTGGATTCCTAACTTTAGCAGAAACTGTTTAGATACACAAAACATGAGCAGATGTGTGGGGGGAGGGGGGATATAATAATTCCCAAATGCTTCAAATCACGGATCTGTGTTTTTGTTAGGCCACCGACAGTAAAGCACCACTGCCCACTAAGCCCTCTGTCCTGACCCCACCAAACGCCGGCCATCGCCCCACCTCCCCGTCTTCCTCCTTGGGTCTGAGCCCCTCCCCTGAGCTCCGGCACTCACCTCTGACCTCTCCGACGCTGGAGGAACTCAGGAACCAGCTAAGAGACCTGAGGACCTCTGTAGAACAGCTGAAGAACCAGCACAGGTGAGTGTGTGCATCATACTGCATGAGCAATATGCCTGAATGTGTTTGGGTTTTTGTCGTACGTCATGATGCTGATGTGTTTTTGTGTGCTTCAGGCAGGAGATGAAGCATTTGGCCAGTGCGCTGGACGAGGAGAAGAAGATCCGTGTTAATTTACAGGTGAGACTGAAAGGCGGAGAAATGCCACAGAAATAAACTAAAACGGAAGTAAATCTAGAACTCAAGAAAAACAAATAGCATGTTCACCCACGATATGAATGATTCACTGCATACACCATTTATGATGTCAGTTACCTACGGAAGCCCTGAGAGATTTTTTGAAGTGTTTGTTTTTTTGTTTTTTTTGTGTAATACTCATTTCGGCCACAAGGAGAGGTTGTGTTTTTTTTTTCCTCTGCCCTAAGCCCTAAGTGAGTTTCTTTTCTCTTTTTTTGTTTTGTTTTTTTTTGGTCTGTAGTGTTTGTTTTTGTAATACTCATTTCGGCCACAAGAGGATGAGGTGCTGCACATCACTTCAGTCTCAACAGGACTAAAAGCATTTATGTTTTTTTTAGGTGATTGGAGAAAAATCTTTGGCTTTTGGCTGGCGAATTTTTTCAGTTGGCTCTCAGGGCTTTAGTTGTAACCCATTCAAAAAAATGTACTCTTATAAATGTCTTGACTATTTGTGTGGTGTTCATTTCACAGTTGGAAGTAGATCACATAAAGAAAAACCTGTCAAAATAAAGACTGAAGCATCCTCATCAGCGCAATCTGATCACCACATCGGAGGCCATCATCCGAAAACATTTTCACTGTTGGCCGAGACACTTCAGCCAAGACAAAGTTTGTGCCAAATGATCATCACGATCACCATCAGCAACAATTCAGCACCATGGAATCAGCCACCTTCCCGCCCTCCTGACGCCGCCTTATCCTGTGTTTACTTACTTTATTTTTTCTTTTAAAAGAGGCTTCTCTGTTCAGTTTACCGCTATCTTGTCAGAGCTTGCTGTGCCACTGGTACGGATTGACGACCGCGGCCTGTCGCTGTGTGTTGCCACGGTCACAGAATGATGAGACGGAGCTGCGGTTGCCGCAGTGACCTCACTGGTACTTTTTGTTTCTGAGTGTGAAGGAAACTTGGGGCTCGACCTCCGTAGCCCAGCCGGTTCAAACGACCTCTGTGCTGTTCTGTGTCCACTCTGCGGCCTTTGTGTCTTATCTGGGGTGTGTGTGTGTGTGTGTGTGTGTGTTTGTGTTTTGTTTTGTTTTCCATCCATGTGAGGACTGTAGTTTTAGACCTGCAAAGTGAGGTCATTTTGGCTGGTCCTGACTTCTTCAACATGCTGGATTAAGGTCCGGATTTGGGTTTAGGGTTAAAGCCCGGACTTTGAGGCACATCATTAGCATTGGACACACTGTGCGTGATGCTTCGATGGTACACTGCAGGCGGGTGATTTTGAAGCATCAACCGTTAACCGCACTTGCATTCGGCCATATTTCCCAATTCCTCTTCTTCTTAGTGCCATAATTTTTTAGTCAAATATTCCAAATGTTGGTTGGTTAAAACTACAAGCACATCAGGATTCTTTCCCCTCAATTAAATCTAACCAACATGACTGATACTGTAGGTGCTATTTCAAGGAATAGTTTGACATTCTGGGAAATACATTTTTTTGCTTTCTTGGAGGGAGTTATGAGAAGACTGATATCACTCTAATGCCTGTATGCTAAATAGCACAAAACTCAAAACAGGGGGAAACAGCTAGAGTGGTTCTGTCAAAAAGTAACAAATTCTGACCATCATCACCTCTAATTAAGTGCAAAAATGTCAATTAGTTGTTTTACAGTGAGGACAAGCCACTGCTCCTGGACAATAAATATTCTTTCGCACATTCTCTTGTAAAGCCTCAAACTGTCATTTTTACACTTTGGTTTTATTACCTGTTGACAGAACCAGGCTAGTCCGACTTCAAATTTTATTTTATGAAAAATACATGTCACAACATGAACAAACCGATCTATGATATTTTTCAAGTCAAGAGTATTGACTTCTGGACAAAAAAAACAAACATTATTTAACCGTTTTTGCTTTTGCACTTTGATATTGCGACTCATAAAACAGCTGTGCTGGTCGCGTCTCATCCCAAAACTCAAACCAAGATCCATGTGCAGCTGACGTTTCTGGTGCTCTTTTGGCAGCAGGTGAAGGTTAAAGTCAAGGACAGGGTTCAAGGAATGTAGTAAGTGTAAAGTCCTCACAGGTAAAGGAAGATGAAAAACGTGTGTGTGCATGTGTGGTAGCATGTATGTACGACTGTTTTGCCTCCCTTCCATATATGTGCACAGAATCTATGGCAACCTGTCACTGTGGCCTTCCTGTTTGACTCCAAATCTTTCTTTCTTTCTTTCTTTCTTTCTTTCTTTCTTTCTGTCTGTCTTTCTCTCTTTCTCTCTTTCTTTCTTTCGTATGACAATGAGAAAACTGCTACAACTGAGGCTACAAGTTGTTTTCTTGACTTGGTCCTTTCTCTCCAGGATAGTGATAAATATATATACTTTTATATTTCAGTGTAATAAAGATGCTATTATGTACTGTATGTGTGCATATTTTATTTTTAAAAAAATTACAAAAATGTTTGAATTGTCTGCTGGTAACATTTGTCTGTTAATATACACTAGATACTGTTTATAGGAGCGTTTTTTGTTGCATTCTGTTGCTCTTTACACTGTTTATTCAGGTAATTGGTGCTCCTGCATGAATGACTGCTATAGAGCACTGTATATATGTGTGACAGATGGAAACTCAATGTACTCTCAGGTCACTGAAGGCCTGAGTGAACAAAAAGGAGAACTGAAAGTCCTGATTCAGTCTTAACGGCCACTCAAACCACTGCAGAATTAATGCAACTGCATTTAGATGTAACTGAGAAAAAAAAAAAAAATTACAAAACTATTTGAATTGTCTGCTGGTAAAATGTGTGTTTTTATATACAGTACATACTGTGTATAGGAGCATTTTGTTCCATTCTGTTGCTCTTTACACTGTTTATTCAAGTAATTGGTGCTCCTGCAAAGATGACTGTTGTAGAGCACTGTGTGTGTGTGTGTGTGTGTGTGTGTGTGTGTGTGTGTGTGTGTGTGTGTGACAGATGGAGACTGGATGTCAGTCTGAGTGAACAAAAGGAGAAGTGAAAATCCTGATTCAGTCTTAATGGTCACTTATATCACTGCAGACTTAATGCAACAGCATTATTCTGATGTATCTGGAAAAAAAACCCCCATAAAAACCCAGACTATGCTTCATGAGCTAACCATGATTCATAAAAGTGTGAACAAACATACGGAACATTTTGACCCTTCTGAATATGTTGTGAAAAAAAGTGGAACCAGGGTTGGGACAGAGGAGGTAAGGAAACAAAAGACCAAACTTGGAAATAATAAAACCTTTAAAGGGGTACTCCAGTGATTTTTGTATCGCACTTCTATAAGACAAGAGACAAGTAAACTGAACTTCATTTGAAAATTTGGCTTACTGCCCCTTTAAATCAATGATTCAACTGCTAACCAAAGCTTATTTAAAGTGGCTATAATTTATATTTCTAAAATAATAATGCATCAAATGACAATGTGACAATGTCGCTTATAGTAAAGAACCGTCAGAGAATTATCAGGAGTTTATGGAGCTTTAGTTTAAACTCATTCTTTAGCTAAATGTTCTGTTTTGGTTTCCTCATATCTCTCATTGTGTTCACCATAAGTGATTATATGTTTCATCCACAACTTGTTTCTGCTGCCCCCAAGTGGGCAAAAGATTCAGTTACTGCAGGTTTAAGGAAACATGGTAGAAAATCAATAAATGTCCATATTATATACTGCATCTAATACGTTTGCTGCATTTAAACTGCTGCTCATGTCCATATGAGAATTTAAATATATTTAACCCATGTTGGATACATTTAATTGCAAAATATCAGTAATAATATTATTTTTATCCTCAGCTTTCATATAGAAAAGTCATTATATAGTCAACCTTAATAAAATGAGATATTAATGGCAATTCGGTTCTATTAGTAAACATTAAAACCCATGTGGGTGTTAAGGAAGTACCAGTAGTATACTGACCCCACTCTGGAAACACATGGACCGGTAGTGTATGTCCCCCCTGTCAGTGTGATAGATGGGCTCTGGCAGTCCGTCCAGTTCCTACTGTCACATGGCAGCGGTGCGTACTGGAGAGTAGCTTCTCACAGAGGGTTATTCAGGGTTACTCCAGTGTAGGAACAGAGTGTAAACCAGCGTGTTCCCCTTTACTCCATTTTATTTGCCTATCTGAAATGTATAGGGTAGCTTATATGTTCGGATGTATACTTTTTTTTTAATGGCAGTGGAGATGAGAGGAAAACTTAAAGTATGGCCATCTTAACAGAGAGTGAAACTTGATTCAGGAAAAAAGGAAATATCATCCCTCTGCTGAATTTATTTGCTGTCAGGAGGACATAACAGAGAATAACACGGCTGCTGTGAGGGCACCAGAAGGACACACTGTTTTATATTTAGACAACCAGAGACACGGTGATAACATTTCAGACTGTGCCAGGACCTGATTGTATGCTGCAACATAAACACTCTCGTGGAATAACTTATTTGGCCCAAAATTAAGAGAATAATTTCGTTTCTGGATGCATTTTTGTTCCCCCCCCCCCTCTCTCGATCTCCTCCCTCTCTCCACATCTCCTCCTCTTTCTCCGGGGAATCTAGTCGGATCCAGTCTTGAGGGGGGAAGCGAGCTTCTTGGTGCGAGATAATCGGCACATGATGTGAGTTAATGAGGCGGAGATGCTGGGTGACAAACTCAGACGCGCTCCGCTCCAGCGACGACAGGTGCGCACCAAGTGAGCGGCGGGAGGACAAGACGGAGGAGTCGAGACAGAGCGCAGGAGTTGACGGGAGGGAGAGGTGGAAAGTCACCGGACCAGGAAGGAGATAAAGCACAAACCACCCCCCAGGTTCTCGCTATGGAAACCGGGCAAAGCGCGCAGGTGGCCGACATGGGAGGGGAGCACTCCGCCGGGTTGAGCGTGGACAGGGACCGGGAGAGGGGCGAGGTGTCCAGCCCCAGTCCGCCGTTCAAGCAGCGCTCCCTGCGGGTCGTCTACGTCCTGAACGACGGGCTGAAGTCGGTGATGGCCAGCAGCCCGGAGTCCGGAGCGCTGCAGTGTCTGCAGAGAGCCTGCGACGCAGAGAGCGCCCTGCTCACCACAGTCACCTTCGGGAGGCTGGACTTTGGAGAAACGTCGGTGCTGGACAGTTTCTACGATGCAGGTGAGTGTGTGAGTCTGAGAAGCAGCGTGGTGTTAGTCATTTGCAGTTTGGGTTTAAACAGCTACTAAAGCTGTTTAAAAAGTTACAAGTTGTTTGAACAACGTCTGAGCAACTAACTCAGCACCAAACTCATGCTGGGAAAATTCTTACAGGTGTAATAAATTTATTTTGTGATTACCATCATAAAAGCCTTTAACCATAAACAAACAACCTGTAAAGCCTCCAGATATAGAGCCTGTAGCAGGCATGAGTTCATAAAGGACGGCCATAAATCACACACACCATCATACCTCACATACTACTAACACACTACACGTGTGTACCTGCCTAAATGCACAATTTAAAATCATTTGTGTTGAAAGTTTTCATCATATTATCCCATAATTTTATCTCTTGCTTTGCTTTACGGTAAATTATCATTGCCATTATCACTTAATGATGACCTCTGACCTCTTACGGTCATTAATGTTTATTAATTATGTTTATTCTTTACAAATAATTATATCAAACTGATGATATGCGACTCTTCATGTGGACTATGATTATGTATATTTGACCATTTATTCTCTGATTCCCTGATGACTGCCGCTAAGGTCAGCCCCACTCCCGACCACATGATTCATCATTCTGTCTTCATCCTCCAGAAGCTGACACCTTTTATTACTCCCGGTCTGATTGCAGCAGTGTGAAACAAGAGCTCCTCTCAACAGTTTTTAATTGCCAGCGATATACAGTACATGGGCTATGATGCCGTCCACACCTCTGCCAGAGACGACACAGATCGCAGATCAGAGTTTTCACTGAACAAATACCAGGCCAGGTGGCTGCGTTTGCAGAGAGAATGGCGTTGGTTCAGTGGATGGAGTGAAAAGTCAAAATCTTTGAACTTGTCAGAGCAGATGGCGACGCATTCATGGTGCCCAGAGGATGAATCCTAATGACTTTTCATGTAGTGCCACCTCCAGGTCAAAGTTTTCCCTTATCCACTGAAACATCTCAACGTTAACTTTATGGACCGGCATTAAATTTTGGGCAGACATTCATGGTTCGCAGAGGATGAGTTCTGATGACCTTTCCTCTAGCGCCACCATGAGGTTGACGTTTGTGTTTTTAGGGAAACGTCTCAACAGCAACAGCTTCCAGGTGTCTTTTTGTTGTTTTAATGTGTCCACCCTACGTCTCTTTAACTCAGAAACATTGAGCTTTGTTTTACTCATTTCATGAGAATGGCTCATACACACAATTTTGAACTTATTATATGTTTCAGAAAACGATGTGTTACTTTTGCTTTGGGTCTCAGTCAGTCTTTGCTGTAAAACATGGTTAAATACAATGGATTTTTATTAGCTCTATATAGTGTATGTGTTTGATGTTTTTATGAAGTACTACCCCTCCTAAACCCCCCCGAAAAAGTCTGTTTGAATTTGAGTTTAATAACAGTTTGCTCATAACGAGTGTAACAGGGAATTCTAGGGTTTAATTGACCCCAGACATGATCCAGTTTCACCACCAGATATCATAGTGATGGCAGATGGAAGAAAATGACCAAGTAAAGCCAAATTCAACAAGAATGAAGTGTTGAAACGTCTATAGAGAGTTTTTCTGTTGACATTCCCTCTTTTAAATAGTTAAGAGCTCAAGTGTTTTAGTCAAGGGCAGTTTACAACGCAAGGCCGTCTTCTTATTTGTTTGAAGAAATGGATTGTACTTATATGTCAAAGATGTGACCTTAGAGACGTGTTATTGTTGTTGTCGTCGTCGTCATCTTTCTAATCTTCGTCCTTCTAGACATCGCTGTTGTGGATATGAGCGATGTGTTTCGGCAGCCCTCCCTGTTTTACCACCTGGGCGTGAGGGAGAGCTTCGACATGGCCAACAATGTCATCCTATACCATGACACTGACCCCGACACTGCCCAGTCACTGAAGGTATATACACACACACACACACACACACACACACACACACACATACACACACACACACACACACACACCTCTTTGAATCTCCTGTTGGTGTAATCAGAGTTCGAGGACGCCATTCCTTCGCACCTCCTTAGAACAAAGTCATCCACTAAGTTATTTACAGACTGGTGTGTGAGGTTGTGTGTATATTGGTCAGTGTGTGTGTGTGTGTGTGTGCAGTACAGTCGGTCCTGCACTGTGCTGCCAGGCGGAAACAGCTGTTTCAAGTCGTACGAGTGCAACTTTAAGAGTACGTATGTCCAGATCCAGTCTGACAAGCTTTTTGTTTTATCTCCTTGTAGGACATGGTGGTGCAGAAAAACACAGTAAGTTTCTGTGTGTGTGTGTGTGTGTGTGTGTGTGTGTGTGTGTGTGTGTGTTTGTGTGTACGTGTGCATTTCAGTGTGATCTGCGCGACACACTGTCTAGTGCTATTTGTGGAATAATATTCATGACAAGTGCTGTCGGTCCTCTCATGCACAAATGCATATCTACATGCTTTCTCTCACACTCTCTCTCTCTCTCTTTCTCTCTTACACACACACACACACACACACACACGCACACACGCTAAAACATGTGTGGCAGTGTCCTCATATATACTATTGTATTATTAATTGCTATTCTCCATAGCAACCTGTTTTTAATGTATGTATGGTGTGTTCATGTGTGTGTGTGTGTGTGTGTGTGTGTGTGTGTGTGTGTGTGGAGTAGGCTGCTCGTCCTCCAGCATTAGGTTTTCCCTGGGTTCTGTTGCCTCCAGAGTATAGAGGCTCTGGATTGCGCAACAAAGTAGGTACCATGCTGCACCAAAGCATGCTGGGAGATTCTGCCCCCCCCACCCCCCCACCCCACCCCTCCTCCTCCCATGGGATGTTGTGTTAATAACAAATTCAATCCCCTAATAATGTGCAACTCACAAAGCCACAGAGGGATGAAATGAGTTTGGCGTCATGGCGGACACTCTGCAGCTGATACTTTGATGATGATTCTATCTTAATATTATGAGAATAATAAGTCATAGCAAAAAGAGAGCATCAAACAGGCGCTAACTAAAACTTTATGGTGCTGCATTCAGAATGAGTGTCTCATCTGCAGCTTCAAAGCGATGTTAAGAAAAGAGCAGTGAAGCTTCACTTCATTTCATGGCAGTAAAAGTCACCACAAGTTGTGCTCTAATTAGTTATATATATATATTTGTGGTGAATGGGGAAACAAGTTATGAGTTTTCTGTGCAAATGATGGATTATCATTGGATTGGATTATCCCCTTTGTGCCTTAATTTATCTTGAACAACTTGTAAAAAAGGAAATGTACAAAAAACAACAAAGTAAGCGGAAAGAAAAGAGAATTGTACAAGCAAGAGGAACAAAGACGTAGAGTTTCAGAGTGTATTAATGTGCATTGGTTTGTGCTCTACTGGATATTTAACAGCCAAGTGAGCCTTATCACTCGTGTTAAGCTTTGCTGATTTTGCCAAGTCATGATACCACCAAATAATCTCAGTGGTGTACTGATCCTCCTCATAAATCACTCGCTAATCCCCCCCCACCCATCCTCCTTCTTTTTCTCGTCTTGGACTCCTTTTATGCCTGGCATTAGTATCCAGCATGTGTGTGTATCTGATATTTAGCTATATATAGCTGTAATACATTTACACTATTCATTTGAAAGCACCTCCGGTACTCTAACAGCGATGTGAGACTAAAAACTAAAACTAAAAATCCCCTCCCTTTCTCCTTCCAGGCATCCAGTGGTAACTACTATTTCATCCCCTACATAGTGACTCCTAACCATGAGTATATGTGCTGTGAGAGTGACGCCCAGCGCAGGGCCAGTGAGTACATGCAGCCCAGCTGGGACAACCTGCTGGGGCCGCTCTGTGTTCCCCTGACCGACCGCTTCACCAGCCTGCTGAAGGACATCCATGTCACATCCTGGTGAGAGACACACACAAGTAAACACAGAGTTTTCACAAACTACTGGAAGTGAATTGAAGTCAAATTTGGGGAAGGATCAACATGCATCATTAGCTTGCATGAATTAGAATCAGTTCCCATCATTATCATCATAAAAAGTACCACTGTGAATTGCCTCTCCTCTCTTCTGCAGCGCCTCCTTTAAGGACACCCTGTTGAACGACATCAGGAAGGCCAGGGAGAAATATCAGGGAGAGGAGCTGGCCAAGGAGCTTTCCCGCATCAAACTCCGAATCGACAACACAGAGGTCCTCACACAGGACATTGTCATGAACCTGCTGTTTTCCTACAGAGACATACAGGTACAAACACAGAGCGGTGTAAATTATGAGAAACTCCAGCATGAACACAGGTAATAGTGATGAAAAGCATGACACAACTTGCCCCTGTCTGACCACCAGGACTATGATGCCATGGTGAAGCTGGTGCAAACCCTGGAAATGCTGCCGACTTGTGATCTGGCGACCCAGCCCATGATCCAGTTCCACTACGCCTTCGCTCTCAACAGGTACACAGCAACATTTAGTTACTTACTTTTTCCTTCTGTTATCAAAAAAATACAAATTTTATTGAAAACAAATCTCTGTAATTCAGATTATTATTTCACAAAACTAGCGAGTTACACTGAGTCATGGTGGAGAAAATACAAGCAAGCTAACAGTACTACAACAGTAACGTTAAACTGTTGCTAACGTTAGCTCGCAGAGTAGCTGTTATCTCAGCTTTTGTTTTTAGAGGAAATTATCAAGCTAACTTTAAATTACACGTGAATGTATTGAATTGTAGGTATTGTTACTGATTTATATATTTTATTATTTTAAAAAACTCACAATATACTGTAAATATTAACAGTAGCTATACAGACAGAAACTAGCAAAACAGAGATGCGTTTTTCAACCTTGCAGACTTTGTAGAGCAGCGTAACTCTGCGTTAGAGCTACAAGAGTAATTTCTGAATGACTCCAGACAATAATCTAATTAAATACTATCTGTATCTATATGTGTGCAGGAGAAACAGTCCTGGAGACAGGGAGCAGGCTCTGAGAGTGATGCTACAGGTGCTACAGTCATGTGAACACCCGGCACCGGACATGTTCTGTCTCTGTGGACGAATATATAAGGACATCTTTCTGGACTCAGACTGCAAAGACACTAAAAACAGAGATAACGCCATACAGTGGTAAGAGCACATATGATAAATGCTTCTTTGCCATGGTCTAAGTCTAATTGTTTCCTCCTGAGTATTCATCTATGTGTCGTCCTCTCTCTCCAGGTACAGGAAGGGTTTTGAGCTGCAGCCCACTCTTTACTCCGGTATCAATCTGGCGGTCCTGCTCATAGTTGCTGGCCAACAGTTTGAGAGCTCAATTGAACTGAGGAAAATAGGTGAGAGGTTTGAAGTTTTTGGTGTATTTTCACAGTATCAACACATGGTGAAATTGTGTGTTTTGGGTTCAGTTTTAAAGGTGATTTTGAGGCTGAATAGTTTATAAAACTTATGCAGTGACTGAAAAACAAGTGAAAACTACAAAAAGTACTGTAGAAACAAACTAAGCAAATTCATTTTTTTCCACTTTCTTCCCCTACTGATAATCTCATGTCTCAGGTGTGAGGTTGAACAGTCTGCTGGGGCGCAAAGGTTCCCTGGAAAAAATGAATAACTACTGGGACGTGGGCCAGTTCTTCACCGTTAGCATGCTAGCTAACGACATCCCCAAAGCTACTCAGGCTGCCGAGAAGCTCTTCAAACTGAAGCCACCTCTCTGGTGAAAGATGTTCACTTTGACAAAAAAAATTGTGTGACATGCAGGATTTAGAGTTATAGATTATAACAGTCCTGTTGTCGTCTCCCTCTGTGTGTTTCTTCTTCCAGGTATTTGCGGTCGGTGGTGCAGAACCTGCAGCTGATCCAGAGGTTTAAGAAGCAGACGGTGGAGCACTCCCCTCAGCGGGACAGACTCATCTTCTGGATGGACATCATCGTGGAGGCCACGCAGCGCACCACCAATCGACTGCGGTTTCCAGTACAAACACACACAGATACTCAATTGAATAAGCACAATCAGACAAAGCGTTCAGAGGCACGTGCTACAGTGCTAACACCTTTACTGTTAACAGGTGTTGATTCTGGAGCCGACGAAGGTCTACCAGCCCTCCTATGTGTCCATTAACAACGAGGCAGAAGAGAAGAACGTCTCTATCTGGCATGTTTCTCCTGCTGAAACGGTAAGAATATTCCCCTTTTGCTTGAAATGCTTTTCTGCGTGGTTTTCCCAACATTTCAGGTTTGACTGCACCGGACTGGGGAATTAGCGCCATCAGCTGTTTATCTCGGGGAATCAACATCCTAATATTAGTATAACTAAAGTGAATGGAAACGCTCATTCCTTTGAATTTTCTTTGAGTCCTAATGATTTGATCCTGGTTGAATATGTGACGAGTCTGAACAAAACTTCATTCTCTCATTACAGAAAGGGATCCACGAGTGGAACTTCACTGCCATGTCCATTAAAGGCATTAGGTATGACAAACAGGCGGATATTATTATTTTTTTACTGTTTGTTTGCTTTAATTCAAGTTCCAAAGCTGAAAAGTCCCATTTGCTGCATTTTAAAATGAATGACTGCATCTCTAGAATTTGAAATAATATATATATTATAACACAGAAGATGACGTAGTTAAGTTTTTAACTGACGTAACACGTAAACACAAAAAGAATAAACAGAACAAGTTAAGTTAATCTAAACTTTGGTCTTCTCTAACTTTCCTCGTCTGCAGCATCAGTAAGTTTGACGAGCGTTGCTGCTTCCTCTACGTCCACGACAACTCCGATGACTTCCAGATCTACTACTCCACTGAGGAGCAGTGCGGTCGGTGAGGACACACACCTCTAGATGTGTCTGTGTAGGTGTGTGTGTTTGTCCGTGTTTTGCGTTCGTTCAGTGCGTATGCGCGTTTTGTATCGCAGCACGACCTGACGGCCGGGAACTGGAGATAATGATAATGTCTGGTTGTGTTTGTGTGTGTGTGTGTGTGTGTTTGTGTGTGTGTGTGTGTGTGTGTGTGTGTGTATGCATGCTTCAGGTTCTGCTCCATGGTGAAAGAGATGATATCTGATGGCACAGGAAACGCAGTGGAGCTGGAAGGGGAGGGAGATGCAGATACACTGGAGGTCAGGGAGTGTTTGTGCATGACTATAGTTGATGCTGATGATTGCAGTTGATTGGTTACTGTAATGGTGTGTGTTGATCTTTGTGTGTTACAGTATGAGTATGACACCAATGAGACAGGAGACAGGGTGGTGTTGGGGCGAGGAACCTATGGAGTGGTGTATGCTGGGAGAGACCTCAGCAACCAGGTCCGAATCGCCATCAAAGAGATCCCTGAGAGAGACAGCAGGTAGGTGTCTTTTTTGTTTTTTTGAAAGCAGACCCCTGACCAAATTCAACTGTTTTTCCACATTAAGAAAAAGCAGAAAAGACAGTAGAGCTTGTATTTCCCCCATTTGCTTTCATGTCAGTTTGTGCAGGAGAAACATTAAAATTGCTGTCTCAACACATAATCTTGTTAACTCGTAACCTTTTTTAGCAGTTAGCCCAAACCTGCCAAAAAAGCAGCTTAAAAAGTAACTTAACACCAAATGTTTGGATTATGGGCGACGGGCTGGATAATGTTACATCCTCTGTGTTAATAAACAACAAAATTCCTGTTGTAAAGTCTCTTTCTGTTTCTGTGAATCAGGTACTCTCAGCCCCTTCATGAGGAGATCGCCCTGCACAAGTACCTGAAGCACAGGAACATCGTTCAGTACTTGGGCTCTGTTTCTGAGAACGGATACATCAAGATCTTCATGGAACAAGTGCCTGGAGGTGTGTTTGTACGACACTGAAAGAGATTGGTTCAATAGATACTGCGTAGCACGATTACGTGCGTATGGTAGGAAAGACAATACTTGGAAATCCATCTGGAACTAAAGGCTGTTTACTCATTATCCTACCTGTTGTTTAAACACATCAACAGAAAGATTTCCCTGGAAGGTGCCCTATGAAATGGTTTTTCAAGTATTGAGTGATGCACCAACATGATATGCTTGTATTGAGTGTAAATGAAAACAATATGCTTCATTATCCTCCATGAATATTAAGCAGCACGCTACGTAAAGCTGATAAAGTATAAAATGAAGAGGTGCAGCAGGAATCAGGAGTAATATCTAGTAGATATAAGAACAGCTCCAGACAATGTGTCCACACACTGTTGGAGATATAGTGAATTAATGCAAGATGAGGCATTTATGTGAGCATCAATATTCAGAGGTGAAAATGTCACCATTAAACACCAGAACAAATCAATAATTCTCCATCTATGTTGTGTATTTGCTGATTATTTTTCTCTGGGCAGATATTCTTGTTTAAACTAACTGGGAACAACAAAAAAAAGCACAATTCAGGGCTTAAAAATGGACAAACTGTCTCTTTCAGAGATCGATGCTTGTGACCTCTCGGTTACCGGGCGGTCTCTCTAACTGCTTGGTCGTCTTCCCATTTCATGATAGGTTTTGGACACTCCTTCTCTCCTTTCTCCAGGAAGCCTGTCCGCGTTGCTGCGGTCTAAATGGGGTCCGCTGAAAGAGGCGACCATAATCTTCTACACCAGACAGATCCTGGAGGGGCTGCGATACCTGCACGAGAACCAGATCGTCCACCGAGACATCAAGGTACGAGGAAATAACGCCGGGCAGGTTCAACACCGTCTTTACAGCACAGTCTGCGGTGCAGCCAGGTGTCACTGTGACGTAGAGAGGAACTAGTTCTCCCATTTGTGACCATGATGTGACCTTACAGGTCTGTTGTTGAAGGTCCAGTCTCACCAGAAAGGCCTTAGGTCCTAAATATTCTTTCTTACCTGCAAGAGGCAATAACGATATTTATGAAGTGTTTTTATATTTGATTGTAGTAAAAACCTGTCTGGGAAATATCTGTACCACTGTTTCATTCTTCTCCTCCAAATACCTTTTTTTTTTCCAAGCAGACATTTTGACATTTCATGTGTAAGTAATTTAACACTGACGATAACTGTTTCATTTCTATTACGCAATGCCAGTGAGCAAGACGAGCACGGCCCTGGAAATAGAACCAGTAAATGAAAACATGGCCACCATTAATGTTATTCATGTTATTAATAAGGCCTGTGGTTTACCTGCTATTACCAGTATGTAAAGATATTAATTTCACATGAATTAATCCTTGCCCACATTACCATATATAAACCCTGTTTCTGTCTGTCTGTCTGTCTGTCTGTCTGTCTGTCTGTCTGTCTGTCTGTCTGTCTGTCTGTCTGTCTGTCTGTCTGTCTGTCTGTCTGTCTGTCTGTCTCTCCATCAGGGCGATAATGTCTTGGTGAACACCTACAGTGGCGTCTTGAAGATCTCAGACTTTGGCACCTCTAAGCGTTTGGCAGGAGTCAACCCCTGTACGGAAACATTCACCGGTAACTTGATCACTCTTATTCTTCCTGCAATTAATTCAATTGTTGTCCAGCTAATTGCCTGTAAACATATACAATACACATACACGCATTGTATTTGTAACTGACATGTCCCAAAATCCCCAAACTACAGATTACATCCGTGGAGCTCCAGCATAGTGCCAATATAACAGCTGAGGGAAACATCTAAATGTTAATGCAAATTTTAACAGAATTTTAAGAAAATCGACCTGCAGTTTTGCGAATATTAGAAGTTGGTTTGTCAAGATAAACGGCTGCAGGTGGAATGTCCTCATCGTTTCACACAGATCTGCCGATATTTTTTGTCTCTTCGTTGGACGTTTAAGTCTCACGCTTCACGTACTTCATGATTTATTCTCCAGGTCTGTTTCCATTGCTCCAAGACCGATTGGTCTTTTGTCAATATGCAAACCTTTCCACCTCAGCCAAATGTAAATGATCAAATCTTTCTCCTTTTTTTTAAATTTTTTTTTTATTTTTAGCATTAAAACAACTAAATAATCACAAAAAATAACACTGTGTGCCACCACATGACCATTTACTAAACAACGTGTCTAAAACAAAAGTGGATAAAGTGACTCGCAGAGAATGAAACTGCACACGAGTCCCTGCTTCACAAAGTGCTGTCACACATAAACAGTCAGTAACTCAGTCTGGGCTGCATAAACGGAGTCATAGAAATGCTGCAGTCTCAAGACTATGAGTGTAAATATCAAATGATCCTCAAAATGTCAAGAGCCACTATCAGCCTCTATGGAAACACTCAGACATGCGAGCCTGCGCGAATGTTCGTGTGCACACATACGGACGTGCACATTCATTGGCCATCTGGCCTTCTCCAGCAGCCGGCGAGGTGTGTAATTAGATTAGTTAATCAAGCAGAGGCAGAAAGGTGTTTACCTTTCATTAGCAGGTGTATGTGTGTGTGTGTGTGTGTGTGTGTGTGTGTGTGTGTGTGTGTGTGTGTCTCCTTATCTGTTTCTCCTCTGCTGCCTCCATCCCCCTCTCTCTCTCTCTCCGTCTCTTTTTATAGCTCTCTCTGTGTCTCTCTGTTTACATCAGCATTTAGACCAGAGCACAGATGCCAAATCTGCTGAGAATTGCAGACTACAGACCCAATACTTAGAGATAAAAAGAAACTTCTCTTCTCTTCTGAACTCATCTTTTAGGAGTAAAGTAATTCTAATCGGATGTTTTCGATCAACAAAATGAGCTTCAATGTTGCACTTTTGCAGCAGAAATTCAATTTTTCTTCCCTGCTTCAATTTGAAATCGGTGCAGACGTGATCTGGTTTTCAAATACAAACTGTAAAATCTGAATCTGGATTGAAAAGCTGACCGTGTATACACCACTTTCACTTCTGGTCTTTTCGGAGTGAGGTCCAACCTGGGTCTGTAATCACTGTTTAGATAAGAGAAGCCAGCTGGTTTCAGTCCAACAAAGATTTGTTGACGCTGACTCTAAATGAGTTACCTGCCTCTCTTTACCTGTGAGGAATAGTTGTCCCGGGTTAGTATCCAGCTCTCTGTCTGCAGGTACTCTGCAGTACATGGCGCCAGAGATCATTGATAAAGGCCCTCGAGGGTACGGGGCCCCGGCTGACATCTGGTCGCTGGGATGTACCATCATAGAAATGGCCACCGGGAAACCCCCCTTTCATGAGTTGGGGGAACCACAGGCAGCCATGTTTAAGGTGGGTACTGTCTCTGTTTGTTATAAGATGTGTTCTCTATTTGAAGCCTTTAAAAACAGGGGAGGGAGCACGGTTTGGAGTTCCAAACTTCAAACACAAATACCCAGACTTAGAGTATTTGGTGTGACTGTTGAACTTGTAAATCTGTGTGGCTGTGTGTTACAGGTGGGTATGTTCAAGATCCACCCGGAGATCCCCGAGTCTTTGTCGCTGGAGGCCAAGTCGTTCATCCTGCGCTGCTTCGAGCCCGATCCTCACAAGAGAGCCATCGCCTCCGACCTGCTCCGAGACACTTTCGTGCGGCACAACACCAAGGGCAAGAAGAGCAAGATCGCCTTCAAGCCATCCGGTAAACAAAACGTGCACAAACACTCTGAAAGCATGAAGGTGAAATATTTGTCACTGAGGCTGAGGCATCACTTTCTGCTGTAGTCTTTGCCGAAATCATGATCTAGTAAGTTGATTTTCCCACAGCATTTTAAAGTGGAGGTGGTGCCCAGGAGGAACATCCTTTGAAATGATTACAAATACTCTGAGATTCAGGGAAAATCCACCTTTACACAGAAAAGGTCATGAGTTTAGAGCATGTAACCCAAAATGAAGACTGGAATACATATCACAGGTTGTGATGTGGCGTTATCCCTCAAAAAGCATTCTGTAAATTCTCAGTCTTCAGCCTCTCATGTGTGTTTTCCACGTGTGTGTGTGTGTTGTTGTTGTTTGCAGACTACATCCACAGCGTTTCCCTGCCGGTGCAGCTGCAGTGCGAGGCCACCGGGAGCAGCAGCAGCGAACACGGCTCCGTGAGCCCGGACTGCGACTCCAAACACGACGTCTTCTTCCAGAAGAAGAAAAGCTCCGGGTCCGAGAACCTGCTCAAACCCCCCAACTCCAACTACCTGAGGTGTGTGTGTGTGTGTGTGTGTATGTGTGTGTGTGTTTGAGTGCAGTTAGTGAGTTAATTCAGGTGAGTTGGGTCAAGTTTACAGGACTTTTAGATTCAAACTTGAGAGGTTAGGCTCAGATTTTTGAAATATAACAGATCTCATTTGCCTCAGCTGCTACTGCTTTGCTGAATTTGCATTTTGAGATTCAGTTTGGATGACATGAGAAAAACCTTCGTGTGACACAAACGTTATTCTCAATCCAAAAACACTGAATTCCTCTTATGATATAAAACTATGTGTCACTACAGACAAAACCCTGATGGCGCAGTACAGAATGTGAAAGGATGTGAATGAATGTGCACCTGTCTTTATATGAGTGTGTGTGTGCGTGTGTGTGTGTGTGTGTGTGTTTGGCTGGCAGGTGGCCTTATTGTGCTCAGTGTGCTCTGCTGCCCTTTACAACACTGGTATAATGAGGTCGGATCATTTTAAGAGCTTCAGCTGGCGGCTGAGCACACACGCACCATCACACACACATCTGTGTGCGCACATACGTGCACGGCTGGTGGGCGCTGACTCATGCTGCCTCTGCACTTTCCTGGGCACACACAGTCGCCAGGAGAGGCTTGTATCTGTACATAAACCGAACGGCACGTCATGCCGTTGTAAATCATTGGTGTGCTCGTTTTCTTTGTTTTATATTGCCATGAGATCACTCCGCATTCGTGTGTGTGTGTGTGTGGGTGTCTGTGTGTGTTGCAGTGTGCCAGACGAGGGTTCGGTGTCGGAGGACCGCAGTGCCCCCCCCTCCCCTGAGGACAGGGACGGCGGCCTGTTCCTGCTGAAGAAGGACAGCGAGAGACGGGCCATTCTGTACAAGGTCCTCAACGACGACCAAGAAAAGGTCATCTCCAACCTGAAGGAGAACCACATCCAGGTGTGTGTGTGTGTGTGTGTGTGTGTGTTTGTGATAGAGAAAGAAACACTTTTTAATTCCTTAAAATTATATGACATCTCCCGTTCATTCCAAGGGCCGGAGTCGTTATAAATACATGAATAAACTCAAGTATGTAAGTAAAGATATCTGTGAATAATGCCAGTACATAGGATTTGAAAAGAGACCAGATACTGATGAATCCCAGTGGTAATACAGAGAAAAGAGAAACAACAATAGATGCAATTGCCTGTTTTCCCATGAAACCAAACTGGGATTTTGCAATGAAGGGATAAAAGAAACACCATTTAAAACATTTTACAACCACTTGTTTCAATAATTATGGTCATTATAAAAGTTACAAAAAGGGTCTGTTTTTTTTAACTAGGTATGTTTGTTTGCTACACCCTGATCAGCTCTGCACGGAGTCTAGTATGAAAAAAACAAACAGACAGAAAGATCAAATTTAAAGCTCTCACAAGCAAATTAGCTAAAATATACATAAATGTATTAAAATAACACTCAGGTGAATTGCATGAGGCACAGGTTTAGGTGAATGTATGTCATGTTTTTGCAAGTTATTACATTTAGGCATCAATTCAGGTGTGATTTTTAAGTAGTAATACGTTGACTGTAAAAAGGACCATGTAAGATAAAAATAAGCATTGGTGCCAGCTACAGTTTCCTTTTTTACCACTAGGAGGCGCAAAGTCCCATGGTTTAAAATAAAAAGAGCTGAGAGACTCCAAATGTGTAACAACAGTATCAGATACACCTGAGAGTTTATTTTAAGCTTGATATATAATCTGTTTAAATTCATAGTTTGCTGTCTGACAAACAATATCATGTAACTGTGAAGGTTTAAACCCATTCAATTACATAAATCCAGCTTAAATCTTTGACACTAATAGACTTTACATTGGAATAGTGGCACCTATGGGTTCAGTGAGCATACATCAATGCCTTGTCAAATGTGTGTATGTGTGTGTGTGTGTTTATATGTGTATATTTGTATGTACAGGGCAGTGAGGAGCTCCAGCTCTCTGTCGACCACATCAAGCAGATCATCTGCATCCTTCGAGACTTCATCCATTCCCCAGAGAGGCGCGTCATGGCGGCCACCATCTCCAAACTCAAGCTGGACCTGGACTTCGACTCCACCTCCATCAACCAGATCCAGCTGGTGCTCTTTGGCTTCCAGGACTCGGTCAGCGCACACATAGTGCACACACAGCTGGAAGTTCACATACAGACTCATACAGTTCAGTATATACTACAGAATACTACAGAACAGCCGGACAGTGCAGAAATGGTACAGAAGAAGCACACTGATGTTTATTTCTGGTGTTAGGAAAAAAAAAAATTCAATTTTATCTCTATCATATCAATAATTTCTGAACAAAAATGCCAAAAATTATGTCTATTTCCATCTTAATCATGAGTTACATATGATCACATACACAGGAGCTGATTTGACTTATTCAAATATGTCAAATCAACTTTAACGAGTGTGTTATTTCAGGTCTTTAGTTGATTATGAGTGTAAATATCTGGCCTTCTCTGTTTGTGTGTGACGTTCTCAGGTGAACAAGGTCCTGAGGAATCAACACATCAAACCCCACTGGATGTTTGCCATGGATAACATCATCCGGCGAGCCGTGCAGGCAGCCATCACCATCCTCATACCAGGTGGGTGCTGAGACTGTGTCGCCATCTAGTGGACACGTGCAAAAGAAATGCCAGAATATATTGAAGTTAAATTTAATTTACAGTAATATGTCATGCTCTCAACCCTTGACCTTTGACCCCTCTCAACTGACAGAGCTACAGACCCACTTCGGCCCGGCGTCAGAGTGTGAGGGAGCGGAGAAAGAAGACGAGGTGGACGAGGAGGAAGCGGAGTTCGGCCCCGTTCTGGCTCCTCACGCTGACGACCCAGGCACGACGGCCGACCCCGCCCACTCTGCGGTCGGCACGCTAAACTCCGCCCACTCCCAGGAGCACCAGCGCTCACATCATCACCTGGGAGCTCAGCTGGGACGGCTCAAACAGGAGACGAACAGGTGCACAGACACAAGGCATAACAGACACCTTGATTAACTCACGAACGCATCACATCAGCAACGCGTCATTACATCTGCCACAAACGTCCACTCCGATTCAAGGGTGAACTGATTAAGGTCAAAGGTCGCCATAACTCAAGAATTCATTAGCTAATTGTGACAAATTACACTTAAGGAGACACACACCTGCAAGGCGGTAATTCTCGTTTACCTTTGCTGTGAATAAGCTGCAGTGAGGGAGCGTCATTTAAAGATTTCAACACATATTTTCCTACAGACACAATCACACGGAAGAATTTCCTCGGGCAATCTCTTTCCACCCATATTTGTGCAATAGAGAGAATGTGCACGTAAAAGTAAACACTCAACACATGCCCAAACTTGCAAACTGACACACACGCACACACACACACACAAATGCAAACGCAGCAGGGATGAATGAAATAGATAGTTGTCTCTCTAAAACCGACAGGGTGATGATGACACAGAGTGGGTGGACAATCCTCCACAGGGTTCCCATATAACTTTCCATATTTAACCACTAATTGTTTTTATTTTTTTTTTACCTTTTTATAATCAGGTAAAATTTTCACTTAAGTAAGATTTTCTTTTTTAGGAGAGACATCTGGAATCATGAAAACAGCGTTATGGCAATACAAACAACACAAAGAACATACATTTGATCATTATATTCTTCAATACAAAAGCTCATAGAGATTATTCAACATTTAGAAAAGACAGTGCTGACGCCCTTCATTGCAAAATCCCAGTTTGGTTTCATGGGAAAACAGGCAATTGCATCTATTGTTGTTTCTCTTTTCTCTGTATTACCACTGGGATTCATCAGTATCTGGTCCCTTTTCAAATCCTATGTACTGGCATTATTCACAGATATCTTTACTTACATACGTTTATTCATGTATTTATAACGACTCCGGCCCTTGGAACGAACGGGAGATGTCATGTAATTTTAAGGAATTAAAAAGTACTTCTACCTTTGCTGTGAATAAGCTGCAGTGAGGGAGCGTCATTTAAAGATTTCAACACATATTTTCCTACAGACACAATCACACGGAAGAATTTCCCCGCGCAATCTCATTCCACACATATTTGTGCAATGGAGAGAATGTGCACGTAAAAATAAACACTCAACACACACGCCCAAACCTGCAAACTGACACACACACACACACACACACACACACACACAAATGCAAACGCAGCAGGGATGAATGAAATAGATAGTTGTCTCTCTAAAACCGACAGGGTGATGATGACACAGAGTGGGTGGACAATCCTCCACAGGGTTCCCATATAACTTTCCATATTTAACCACTAATTGTTTTTTTGTTTTTTTTACCTTTTTATAATCAGGTAAAATTCTCACAAAAAAAAACAACATACATTTGATCATTATATTCTTCAATACAAAAGCTCATAGAGATTATTCAACATTTAGAAAAGACAGTGCTGAGGCCCTGCACAAATAAAAGGCTGCCTGGATTTAGTGTTTGGACAAATTATACTGACACAGGAAAAATTTGTCATTGTAACACTTTATTTAAAACAGGTTAACCAGCTGTACAAAGTTTCCAGTACAAGGTTGTCTGTGACTAAAGAAAAAAAAAGGATAAACAAATAGTGTTGATGTGGGAACTTAGCAGACAAGACAAGGTGCACCTCTCCAGGAGAGAGAAAGATAAGAATCAAGTGTCCATAGAGACACACAAGTGAAATTCTCTAGAAGTGATAACATACAAAAGATGTTAGAAAAAAAAACATTGCAACATTCAGAAACGCTTTTGTCTGAGGAAAATCTATATATATCTATGATATATGGAGGAGGAGACAGAGGAAGCTTTTTATATCTCTGCCTTTAATGCAGCAGAGTAACTGGATTTTACTCCTTTTTCTTTAAGGCTTTTGTAAAAGACGGAGTGAGCACTTTGCTTTCTGTTGCTTGGAGTCTATGATTCATGCATCGTTTCGTGCATTTGCAAAGAAATAATATTTTGTTAATGATTATTATATCCATCTGTACGTGATTGATCTTGCTATTTTGTCACACCTGTCTTTCATTACCTCTCCCTGCAAAAGAACAAAGGTGGTGAAAAAACAGCCAGGTTTTGTTATCTTTGTTTCTGTTTTCACATGCAGAAGAGAGTCACGTGACAGTTTGTTGATGTATTTGATAAAGTTGAGATTAGGGTTAGACAGAGTCGGCAGAAAGCTCTGCTGTTAGGAAACAATAATGTAATTTATAGTTATTTTTCTTTTCATTTTATGGCAGCTTTGTGATTCAGAAAAGACGACTGTTACTTTGGAACGTGTCACTGAATTGGAGAGTTTAGTGGTTTCTGTCAGGATTAAAAATTGAGTAACTATAACTCAGGTTATATTTAAGTATTTAAACTGTCACTCGAGGAGTTTTGAGATTAACGACTTTTGAAAGGCACAGTTGTCTTGTGTAGTCAGGCCCTGACTATCTGTCTGTTCTTTACTGCCACAAAACACTGATATTTCTACACGTTTCAGTATTTGTATGTCTTAAATTTATCAGCATTTCTTGTATGTACCTTGTATGTAACTGCACTATCTACATTTCTTACTTAAAACCACAGTGTGAAAAGGCTGCTCCATTCCCCTTTCTCTAGGCCCCCTCCCCCACATTATCATTGTCTTTGTCACTGTCATTTAATCAGTATTTTAGTTGCATGTTTCTATTCATTTTTCAGCTCCTGTTATTCAATGCATTGGTTGCGAGATGTGCTTGATAATTGTTTGCAGGTGTGAGATGTTGGAAGGGTCGGCCCACTTTGTATATTTTCAGATGCGTGTTTAGGTGAGTGGGGTCGATCAGCGGCTCAGTCAGGGGAAGGGGAAACAGGTGTGTGTCATTAGTGTCCCCCTTAGTGGTAGCGAGGGACTGGGCAGGAGTGTGTGGGAACATGGGTCGACCTGCTCTGCTGTAGATAACAGTGGGTTGCACTTATGAATTAATATCTGGTGCTTATTGTAGAGTGGGAAATGTCGGCAGTAACAGAAGTTAGCACGTAGTGGTTGTGTGGGGTTTGTTACGCTTGGACAGGCATGTGTAGGATTAGCTCACCCCTACACTTACCTGAGCTGCTGGTAGGCTCCAGTTAGGTGAGAAGGAGAAGATAAGATGGCAGTTAATTTATTTCTTTGACGTTATGGTTTAAGCTATTTTTTTGTTGAATTTCCCTTGGTTCATTTTTCTTCTGTTTGGTAATATTTTTGTTAATAAAAATCACATTTTTTGAGAACTTACTCCAACCTGCTGACCTGCTTCTTTTTTTTTTTTCTTAATAAATTGATCCAGATGTAGTGCTCACTGCTCGTACTGTAACAGATGTTCTCTGTTGCTGTGGTGGCCCCCTGTAGGCTGCTGGAGGAGCTGCTGCAGAAGGAGAAGGAGTACCAGCAGGTCCTGAAGGCCACGCTGCAGCAGAGAACACACGACCTGGAGCTGGTCAGAGTCAAACACAGATCACCAGGTAAACAAACTCTGTAACCGACTGGTTGATTAGTCTTCTTTTCCTACTTCTCTTCCTCTCTAAATCTCTGTTGCTGTTGTTTCTATTTCAGACATTTCACCTCCCTCCATCTTCCACATCCCAGCAGACCACGAGCCGGACAAGCAGCTCACCGACTGGCTGAAGGAGCAGGGGGCGGACGCTGACACCATAGACAAGGTTGAGTGTCTGTTGTCTGTCTACAGCTTCCTCTTCTTCACAAGTGTCAAGTGTGTGACTGTAAACTAAAGGCTTACAGTCATTTCTCTGTGGTTTCTGTTCTAGTTTGTGCTGGAGGAATACACGCTGACCGACATTCTCAATGACGTCACCAGAGACGACCTCCGCTGTCTACGTCTACGGTATCTACTCTTTCATGTCCGTGTCACAAACTGACAGAAAGGAACTTAGAATCACGCTACTTAGACGTCGGAGTTACACACACACACACACACACACACACACACTATATCGACAGAATTGACGTTGACTTCGGATAGATTTTTTGATTTGCTTAAGATTCTATAAATTATTACATAGCTATTTTAGAAAGGTGAAATGCTATGGTGTCCTGGACTTTAAGTTGCGATCTCTCCAGGTGTACGTGGTTTCAGAAAGATGCTGTGTTTCTACTTCAGCACACCTTGCATCAGCTGTAAAACATTTTTAAAAAACCGTCCACGATTCGTAGCCTCCAAGGCGTCAAGGGAAGAACTGAACTCAAAAAAGCTTGAAAGATATCGGAACGAAAAGCACTGATGGTTAAATATTGTGGAGTTTTTTTGTACTGCTTTTCATTTTGTCGAGCCATCAGGCAGTTTTTTGTGTTGTCAGTTTCCTCTTCATCTTTGTATCTGAGTCAGAGTGTAATGTCTTGAAGCCTTTTACCAGTTCCCCTTTTTTTTTTTTTTTTTTTTTTTTTTTTTTTTTTTTACACAATTGGAAATCCTCTCACCGTCTCATACTCACCTCAACCAAATTGGTCATAGCAGAGTGTTCGAGACTCACTGCCTCATAAAGTCTTTCAAAGAATAAAAAGCATGAAATAAGACTTTGAAAAGAAGAGAAAATGAATAAAATCAGCTTCCAAGAGTCGATAATGTTTTTTCTCTAAGGTGAGGTGGCATCAGTTTTTTTTTTATCTTCTACCTGCACAAAAAGTTTGATACAAACCTACATCGATAAGCCGTGACTAACCCGTCTTCCCCCTCAGGGGCGGAGTCCTCTGCCGCATCTGGCGAGCCATCCAGCGGCACCGAGAGCGAGAGAGGCTGACGAGCGGCACGCGCTCGGAAGATGAGGCGTGATGGCACGCACGGACTACAACTCTGGAGGACTGTTTTGTGGAAACACGCACATCCACGCACACCACCAGCCCTGCATGGCTACGCCTCTCTTCCTCCACTGTGCCTTCTCTCGTGCTATATTCTCTGCATCGCATGCACAGGACTGACGGAGTCTTTTGCTCGTCTGTGCATCTCCATACAGAGTCACACTTGACCAGACCAAAGCGCTTTAGTGCAGGCACTACTTTATGTATCTTTATGTGCACTTAAATGTGTATTTGTGCCACAATATGAGCTTGTGCTTGAGGATTTTTGAAGAAAATTTGCATCTTAGCAAATGAGGAATCCACCATCACTTTCTTTTTATGTATGAGATACCAGATGTGGACTTGAAAGGTGGCCATGAAAGTTTTGTGCCTTGATCCTTTGCAGAGAACACAGGTTTTCACAGCAGAAAACAGTATTTAAAATATCTATTAAAACTTTTCCCAAACTCTCCTGTAACATAAATGCATTTCTGTTCTGTCTGCCTGATTTACCAATATGTTCCTAAACCTTCTGGTTCCCGAACCCTTAAAATGAAGCAATTCTCTATGTAGAATCACATGTTATGGCCTTAATGTGTACAGCAGTTCAACCAAAAAATTCAGTTTTTCTTCTTCTTTCTTCTCAATATGAAGGATTTTTAGAGGCTTGAAGGGCTAAATATGTGTGTTTCACAAAATTGTGTAACAAAAAAAAAAAAAGTATGTTTGTCTTATTGTTTTAATCGATCCACGTCACTCCTCTCTCATGACGAGTGTGTATGACTGTACATGGCTCATGTTCCCGCACTGTTCAGAACTGCTCTAAACTTGCTGATTATGTTGCAGAAGTGATTTGAAAAGTTTTTTTTATAAATGGTTTGATGCGTTTTTTGTCGCCTTGAAAACTTTGGTCACTCTTGGTATCATGGAATCAGAGCTGATCACAACCTGTGTCAAGAAGCAAACTGCTTTTTTTTTGGATCTGCCGCCAAATTTTCTCAAACTCTTCTAGTTTCAGGTTGAAACCTTTCATCATTTACTGGATAATTATTGTGCAAACAGGGATACACAAGCTAATGCACATACTTCCTGTGTCAGCTAATGCCTTAAGTTTTGTAAAGTAAAAAATAATGTAGCCACACTGACTTATTGAAACGTGTACACATCATGACTGCCAGCCCAGCGCCGCTTTTACCTTTTGTACGCACGTTATTTATTAGCTGTGTCAGATTTCCTTTACATTCTGGATGAGGTAGCTGTTGTTTTCTCTTCTGTGTGTACCTGTATTTAAATGTTTTTTCTTTTTTGTTATTTTTTTAATTTTATTCCAGCTATGACATGTATGTATGTATGTGCTTGTCTGTTTCCTGGTTGCTTTACAACCGCAATAAAAAAATAAAAAAATAATGGAACTGTTATCACCTGTCACTCAGGTATTTATGTGGGCAGTGTTAAGCATAATTAAATATTAGACTTTCACTTGGTGAGGACATTTTTCCTATGGCCTCACATACACCTAAGAGCATCTTTGCAAATACCTAAATAGATGTTTCTGTCCTTTGTCATTTTCAGTTATTTGGCCTTTTCAGACAACACAGAGGCCTTCAAAGAGAAAGTGAAGAGGCAGAGTAACCTTACTCTGGGCCAAGATGGAAGTTTACACAGCCACACTGTACTGCTGTTCTTTGCCAGCTTGGCTGTATACTTACATACCTGAGTGTTTGAGCTTATTCCTCATTCATTCCCCTTATCTGCTACCCATTAGCCCTTCACCTGCCTGACACCTGTTTGTGTGTTTACAGCATGACCTCCAACCTACTCTCATTTCCGTCCTCAGTTCTGCATTTATCTGACTGCCTGCCACTTTCGACTTTAAACAAGTAAACTACCTATTGAGCCAAACATACTGAGTCCAGTGTGGTGATACCTGGTATCCTGATCTGTGACTGTTAGCCTTCAAATAGCACATTCCAGTATTGTGGCTTTATATTGGTCTTTGAAGGGCAAGTAAGCTTTTGTTAGTAGTTTCTTTTGAAATGGTTCTTTCACCCAGATAACAAAATTCACTACCCTCTAGTGGTAGATATTTATCTGGGAATTTTTTCTCCTAATGGACGTGGTGCCCCAAAATTACATATAATAATGTCTAGTGGCTCTATGAAGCTGTATTTAGGCACAGTTTTTTTAGGTAAATGCTACCTCCAGCATGCTAATAGGCTCATATAATGACAATGCTAAGATACTAATGTTTAGCAGATGTTCCAGGTCGTAGTTTAGCATGTTTCCATGCTAACAAATGGTAATTAGCATTTAACATACAGTAAAGGTGAGTTAAGGGATTCATCATGCTTTGATGATTTATCTGGTGACCATTAATGTCTGTACAAAATTTATAGCTGAGATTATCAGTCTGGACCAAAGCAATAATCCACATAGCTGTGCCGTTAGCCGTTAGCATGGCTATAAAATAAACACCAAGTCCCCTTTCCAGAAATATTGTCCTCGTTACGCTGCATAACACAGAACCCACTGTCAACAGACTTCTACTGTCTATCAAAGAAATAGTCCCGATGACAGCTTTTAACAGTGTGTGTTCTGCATGGTTAAATAGGGGAACTGAGAAATTGTATTGTATAATGTGTAGAGTGACATGTTGTTGTGTGGCGTGTTACATCTTCTGCCCCTGAATTAAAGCACACTGGACTGCATAATAAAACGATCACAATCAAACTAGACAACAATGTGAAATTTCTCTACAGTCAGCATTGTGTCGCAGTTGAAATCCCATTACGTCTGAGCCTCACCCAGAAACTTGGCCACTGCCAGGTTTGGTTGGCAGGTAGAGCAGTAATTATGTCAAGGGATATCATGCAACACATCTACCAATAAAACAGGTTTTTTTTTTTTGACATGTCAAAAGAGCAAGGAAAACAAAAGGAAAAATGTCCAAGTGTTTGCTTAGCTTGCATTTTTGTTGTTCTAACCACCTGCTATAGGGATCTGATTTCAGACCCTGGCATTTTTGTCGAGGAAATAAAGAAATAGAGAACATTTGTCTTTCCTGCTCTCTCAAACCTTCACTCTATCGTCTTGGAAAGAACCTGCATTATCGAAAGTGTCTGTGTCTGTGAGTGAGTGGTTATCATGAGTTAGTCACAGAAAAACCAGATTGAAATATCTCAATGAGCAACGAGACTTAATCAGAAAAGAAAGACCCCAGAGGGAAACAGATAAACAATCATTTAATCAACATTAAAAAAAAAAGTCAGTAGCGTAAATTAACATTTACAAGTAACAAAACACAATAACAAAATCTGACTGCAAGCATCTCTAAAATTCACTATATCTCATTATATCTCACATACTTAATTAAGCTGTACTCTACTCAAGTGTAAAAATGGAAGGTTGCTGTTTCCCCTGTATCTAGTCTTTATGCTATAAGCTAAGCTAACTGCCTGCTGGCTGTTGCATCATATTTGCCTTACAGATAGAGATAGAGCAAATAACCAAATTTTCCCAAATGTCAAACAAGTAAATATATTTCCTGTCAAATTTGCTCAGCTTTTTGAAAATATGAAACTCAGTATCTTCTAAATCCTACCATACTGCCTGAAGACACATGCTGAGAGCTTAATTGTTCTATGAAGGCCTACTGTGTTTCATTTCATGTCTCCGTCACAATGCTTCGGACTTTTCTTTGTCCCTGCACCTGTATGTAATTAGGTTGTTTTGGTTGTTACAAACTTTATTGCGTCAGATCAAGCTGAAGTAATCCACTTCAGTAACACTGACTGTGACTGCGCCAGTGTCGAAGTGATGACATGTTAATTACACATCGCACGGTGAAAGTATATTCTAAAGAAATAGTCAGGGGTGAAAAAAAAAATTTTGCTTAAAATTACTCACTTAAGATCTGGGGTACGTAGAACAGCATTACGACGGCTTCTTAATTTAATTTTGTGGCCTAATTAATTAAGCCTAATTAAGTTCTGTACACTGAAAACATTTTTTTTTTTTCATGCGGATATTTTAAATGATAATAGTAAGGAATTACTGTAGGTTTCCTGTTCACAAACAGGTTACAACAGGGAAGATACGCTGTTTACACAGATAATTTTTATCTTTAATGAAAACGATACTCTTCAGTTGAGCAACAGAAGACAAAGGATGGTTGTCTACAGTTTGGGTGAAGTCCAGATTTTTGTCTTCCTCCTGTGTAGGCGGTCAGACTTTCTCACTCCTTTACGAGTTTTTCTGTTGCTGCTGAATAGAAGCACAAAACAGGCGCGTTGCTGTATTACTGCATTACTTAACAGGCGGAATGAGTTTTGCAACGTACAGTGTGTGATGGTGTATGATTACAGTTCCTCTCAAAAAGGTGGATCAGGTTGAGAGCAGAAATAAGGGGGATTGAAAATGCTTTTGTTATAGCCACAACAACATTGTGGATATTTCTATTTTATAAACCGCTAAGCTTTCATATTTTTTGGTTCTTTAACTGGCTTGTAGTTAAGAAATCTTTCTGTAGGCCTTTCCATAAGCCCTCACTTTAGTTACTGTTGCCAGCTTTCAATTCTCATATGGGACATATGGTAACACTGGTGGATTCACCACTTGAAATTCTTTGTAACTGTTGAAACAATTAGTCATTTATTTTTGACAGAGACTGACAAAAGCAGTTTTCTTATTTTCACCTGCAGCAGAAATGAACTGTCATGAACACAGGTTTAGCAGCTGTAGCTAGCTAAGCTACATGGTACATCGGAAATATAAAGTGGAGGTAGTAAAAGAGTTCTGTGCACTGTTAAGCTGTGTGTGTGTGTGTGTGTGTGTGTGTGTGTGTGTGTGCCCATGTTACCACAAAATTGCAAGAAGGTTTTGCATCTTGTGAGGTGTCGGATCCACACATACTTTGCGGCGTTTCCATGTTAGTACCCTTGAAGAGAAACACAAACGAACACAAACTGTCACCATAATTTTTGAGATAGTCATGAGAATTGTCTCGAGAAAGTATTTCAGAAATGGGCGATGGTGCTGGGAAATTAGAAACTTGTACACAGGGAAGTGGGTCATCCAGATGGAAAAGGAATGTTGAAGTGGTAATATTGTTTATCAGTTACACAAAGAGCTGCACAGAAAAAAAAAAGCAAGGACAAAGCAGGAAAGATAATCTTACACTATATTAATGTTGCAACTTTCTTTGATGCCTTGCCGCTGGCACCACACCATTCCTCCTCTTTTTACGATGGAGTTCACAGCACGGACTTTGGAGACAGCCGTACAGCAACCATGACGTCCTGCGAGAGCACAAACACACGTGTGGACACAGGCAGAAAAGACACCTGATATTCAACTTCGAAGATAAGATCCTGAAGGTTGAAGGCTGTTGGCTCATACATCTTTGGTGGGATTGAGTTTCCCACGTCAGTGTTTGAAGTTCCTATGTTGTCAGTGACAAATCACAAATAATTTTCAAGTGATATGACAAGTGACAAGTACAGTCTTGCAAACTCAGTTTTCCATCATCCAATAGCTTATGTACTTTGTTTTGGAGTGTGATGTTATGGCTCTATGGGGCATTTTTAGACTCAAATTTATACAAAAACTGATTTTTGTGGAAATTTGACATCCAAGTCTAACAAACGCACATTTTTAAAATCTCGTATGCTTTTATACTTTTTGACTTTCAGATACCTGATACCTCTTCACCATAGGGTTGTGCAACACAACAAAAACTGCTAAAATTATAGGCCATCGAGTCAAGAAACACAACATACTGCAGTCCAATAACAAAAAAAACTACTGCGTGATAATTCTGCCATCATTTTAATCTCTGGAAACAACGACTTACCTGCTGCTTGAGCCACAGTGTGCCGGCTTGTACCCATGACCGCCAGCCAAAAAAGACAGAGCTTAACAATAGAAAGAAGCTTCATTTGAGACCAGAGTCTGTGGCTCTTGCTGAACAAATACTGGGATGGGTGTGAAGGTGAAGCGGCTGAGTATTGTTTGAGACACTCATGGGATTCACTGCCGTGAATACAGATCTCAGAGGGAGGGCCTACCTGTACTTTTCGTGGGTCAAAGTGTGTATTTAGTTACCTTATATAACAGGTGTTCTCCACATATTTGACTGCATTTATCTGATGCAATCAAGTAACAATTGGTTCAAATTGAAATTAAACCAAGACAAACATTGCACAGTAGATTACATTTTAACACTTCCTGGCCAGTAACAATGACCTAGCCTTAATTCTTAAGCAAACAGGTAATCATTATTAATGTGTCGTGATTAACAGCTAAATTATAACTCTAGATCACAGCTTCAACGGCGAAGCTGTTGCGGAAGCTGTGGCGATAAGACCAATCTCAGTGTGTGTTTCCTCAACTAGATCTTGTTCTTGAAAAGCAATGAGTCATATAATGTAACTTGATTTGGTTTTACAATTGTTCCAGTCCCTCTCAACCCTAACCTGAGCCTCTCACTGAAACCATAATGTGCATTAAGTACCATTTTATACACATTTTCCCAAATTTCAGCTGGACTTATTTGGTATCTTTAGAAACTTTAGGATCTCTACTAGAATTTAAGATAAAGTTCTTTGGGTTTCAGCAACATGTGGCTGCAAAACATGAGTTTGAATTAAATGTTCCACTGCAGAGACATGGAGATTTAAAGCCGTATCAATTGATTTTTGTTTTTGGCCACCTGGGAGCAGCAAGACAAGCTGCAAAAACACCAGTGATGAATTATCACCTAAAAAATTATATTTGTAAGAAAATGCTAATTTCCACATGTTTACACATAATGTGACCTGGTGTTTTTATCTCTTTTTTTTTTTGGTCTCCATCGTCACCTGAGATAAACATCTTGCTCTTAATCTGTCATGCTTCAAGAAAACATTGGTTTTTCATTTCCAAACATGCATTTTAAAACCATGACAATCTACAGTACCTATAACCTCAATCAAGTAATTATTTTGACCCGAATATTTTTAAATGTAGCAGTAAATATTTTCTGGACTATTATATGAGAATATTGATTAGTGCAGCTTTAATAGGCTCAGGTAAATTAAGCATTAATTGTTACTATTTTGATGGCGTGTTTTGTGTAATGTGACCCAGAGCAGCAGTCAACAATGCCAAACCTCCGTGCTGATAAAGCGGATAATCATTACAGAGCCAATACACTCACCAACAAAAGATCTCGACAGGAATGAATAAATATGGGTTTGTTTCAAGAAAGAACTTTAATTTCCTCAACCCATAGAGCAGCGTGGAAATCTCTCAACTAACATGAGCTCATAAAAAGACTCTTGAGACTCGTGAGGTTAACTGAGGGTGCCATAATCTCCATGTGTTATGTTTCTCTTGCAGTTGCGTCACCAATGAGGAAATTGCAGCACACACCTCAGGACTGTCAACATGATTTCATACCTGGACAATCCCAAGTTGATTATCTGTAACTATTTTAAGAGGTGCTATTTTTAGCTCCTCAAGGATGTGGTATAAAAATAGATTTGAACCTTTGAGTAACCCTGTGCATTCCATGGACGTCAAACAATTCAAATAAAGAGATGAGGTCAAACTGTTCCCTGGAGTTTGCACATTTCTTATTGATTGCAAACAGGACCGTAGCAAGAGCCGAATGACGACATCCATGAAGCCTCCAGGTCTCATTGGGAACATTAAAAATCACACTAATCCTTCATTTACTGTTTGCACGTTTATATTCCTTGAGTTAAGTGTAAAATTATACGGAAAATGAAGAGAGTTTGGTTCAAATAAAGAGCAGGAAACAGTTCATACTTCTTTACCTCATACATATTGTGGTTATTGATGATTGTTGGGGAAAAAAAACAAAACAGAGTCATTTGGCAGTTTGTAGGTGGGAAGAACATGTTCTAGTGCCAAAGCCAAAAAAAACAAAACACGGATTGGATAATCTTATCTGCACTTATTGTTGCAAGTTCTCTCACAAAAATGAATCACCATCTTTTATCACCAGGTCAATTTGAAATGAACCACTACTGCTGTCTCCGTGGCAACTGAAAACAATGTCAGTATGGCAAATTAAGTCACACGCTACTGATAACTCACATAATATTCACATGAACAAGATGTGTTATGAGGAAATGACTGAGGAAGAGGGTGGAATTGGTGTATCATTCAGGAGGAACTGACTGCTTATATGTACATGTTTACATAGCTGCATTGGGAAATTATAGCAGCAAAGGTGGGACGCTGCACCAGAGCAGCAGCAAGTGATTCATGAAAAGGCATATTCCTGAGAAGAGTATGTGCCATTGTGATCAAAAGGTTTTTTCCAAATTACTTTTTATTTTATTTTAATGTGAAATTTAAAAAAATTCCAGTCTGCTCCCGTTTTTTATGATATACTTTTGAGTAACCAAATGGTTAGAATATGATTCATCCTTCTCATGTTTGCCTGGACACAGGAAAATGACCACGCCGGGCCTTAACAATGGGAAGTTAGTTATTGTGTTTGGCGCGCTGCTTTGCGTGGTCGACTCACCCACACAGACACTTACAGCTAATTGAGGCAATTATAGTAAAAGAAGTAGCAAAATTAAGAATTTAAAGAAATTATTACTGGCAATAGATGATGATATATTTCCAACAGTAACCATCCTGCAGTTGACACGTTGATAAAAATGTGGATGTTGTATTGTAAGAATAGACTGTAAAACGAACCAACGTGAGATGTGTCTACAGAGTGAATCCAGGGGAAAGGGAGAGACGTTTTTTAAAAAAGGTTAAAGTCCGCAAAGGCTGAGACTCTTTCTGTAATCATTTGCGTAATCATCAAAAAGGTCACATGTTGTTTTATGATACAGACTAAACTAATGCATCTCCTTCAAGGCCCGTCCACCTGCCCTAAAACCATGAAGTGCTATCAAACCTGCCAAGGCGCTGCACATAATCACCTGTGCACGTCATGAAAAAATAAATCATTGCTACCATCTCATAGTCCCTTTGATAAGGAAGCAAACAATGAAAATGCACCACCCACCCTGTATTGACATGATTATTATAACCAAGTAATTGAATTGAATTAAATGATTCTGGAAAAGAAGATCAGCTCCGTTGGGAACAGTGGTAACAGAGCCTTCAGGGCCCATATGGCATTTGCCCAATTTGCCTGTTTGGTTAATCCAACCTTTGTTAAGCACTGATGTGAAGATCTGCTGGTCAAGAGTCAAATTTGGACTAAATATGGTTGAATTTGGTTGAAAAGTTAGTTAGTTTTTTTTTGTTTTGTTTAGATCTCTGGGTTAACTGTTTTTCAACTGCATTTTGCACCAGTGCATTTTGCCATAAGTCAATATGTACAGTAGTTAGGACCTACGTAACACTGAAATATATGCATATGTGTCAAGCTCATGTTCACACTAGCGGTATGTTGTGGCACATGAAAATGATATACCACTCCACCACTGAGATATGCTGACAGACAGGTGAACCTATCCTCAGGAAGCAGATCCTCACAAAAACACGGATTTGACAATGGATGACGTCAACAGCAAGAATTTAACTGATAAACAGATAGATCGCTAAATGAAAGCATGTGATGAGGGAACTGAGGTACTTTCTTCAACAAAGGCCTCTATTTATCTTTCCAGTCTTTAGTCAGTGAGCACTTATCTCAAGTTTTTGCTCCTGAGATAAACTTTTTAAACAATTGTATCACCTCTGACACCTTTCTCAAGTGGAAGGGTGTTTTTTTTTTTCCCAGATTTGACATATTCCAGTGGGTCATTTGAGTAGCAATTTAGTTATTTTACCTTTCAAATATTTAAAACATTACTCACTCTTTAGAAACACAGGAAATATAAACTTTTAAAGCTGCATAAATGAACTTTCTGCCTTTAGGGAGCCAAAAAACCCCATAAAATACTTTTTTTCACATTGCTACTTTCTGTCAAAGGGTGTATTAATCATATTAATATGTAACAAAAGCGTGTTACTATTCAAAGAGTGTTGTCTAATTTAGTTTTTATTTTTGCTTGAATTGTCAAAACTCAAGGAAAAAGTCAAGTCGACCCTCAGGAAAGTCCATTCTCAGGTTAAGTCAAGCTTCACTGCAAACAACTCAAAGTCTTCATATTAATGATTTAAACCTGTGATAACCAACAGCAGACTGTCACCATGTTTTCACATGGATTTCATAGCCACTTCAAATTTGACTTACAGCCAGCTCTGATGTAGTAGAACAGTTCCTCCCACCTCCAGGAGCTAAGCCGGTTCCTCTGTTTCCTGGCTCGCATTCAGACACATTCCAGGCCAACGGGGAAAATCCCAGAGCTGCCTACTTAAGGAGTGAGCGCAACGCTGTGTCTGTCAAACTCTAAGAAGAACCTTTGGACATTTGAACCACTACAGACTGGCACAGCAAGCATACCAACTGTGGAAACATGGGAATCAACAAAGTGTGTCTCCTGGCAGTTTTCTGCACACTCATCATCCTCACCACCTTCAGCGGCAGCGCACAGTCAGGTGAGTCCTTCAGCTTCTGCTGCGAATGCAGGTGAAATATCCTGGATTTCTACAGTATTGAATGTTTTCTGTCATCACTGTCAGAGTACATTTAGAGAGGGACAAGTATGGGAAAAGTTGTAGGCCTATATTACCTTCAGCTTTATATTATTGTAGTACATGTAGAGTCTGCAAATGTTAAAGCTCAAACAAACTGAGTATATATAGAATTATAGTGTATAGTTTAATGAGGCTTAGAAAGATGCAAATTAAACTTTTATTATTAAAAATCTATCATGTTTGATAGTTTTTTAATAATTGACTCGTGTATTTTCGCTTACAATTTGTCTTCGTGTGTGTGTTTGTAGCGAGCTGCTGCCTGAGGTACACCAGGCGCCAGTTGTCATGCATGCGGCTGCTGGGATACACCATCCAGAACATCAACACTTCCTGCGACATCAACGCCATCATGTGAGTTAACGGTCCACTCTGACGTCACGCTACGTTACATGAGCATTACGATGGAAACTGTGATACTTAAAGTGATTCTGGTGGGAAATTCAATAGCAACAGAAGCACAGGGCTCCAGGTAGAAGCAATCAGATGAAATATCAAACCAGTCTGATATTTGTCAGAAATAGATATTAAAATAAAATTATACTCGATAGACAATTTAGGACAGTTGTGCATTACAAAGTGTGCAGTAATACTTAGAAATAAAGGGCTGCCATGAACAATGAATTTCATCATCAATTAATCTCCTGATTGGTCTCTAAAAGAACAGAAGGTGATGTCATTAAATGTCTTGTTTCAGTTTAAAATTAAGCAAATTGTTAAATTTTTCTATAAAATCTGACCAAGAAAAGTCACAAATTCTCACATTTGAGATTCTGAACAAATGTGGAGTATTTGTATTTCAAAAAATGATGTTCAATCAGTTGTGAAAGTAGTTTCTGATTGATTGTCTTTTGATCGACTAATCATTTATTTGACTAATAGTTGCAGCTCTTCTTAGATAGAAGTTATTGCAGTGTGGTAAAATGCATTACATGGATCAACATTAACTGAGTAATGTTGTGCAAAGGCATTTACAACATTAGCAACTACAGAAATAGACCTAAAATACACATGTAGCAGCACATCTAAGTAATTTCAAGTTTTGAGCGGCTGAAAAATAAAATAGGTAAAAGAGGTGATAAAATAGAGGACTGTATAATATTAATCATGATATCTGACATGTGGTTGGAGACATTGATGGGCTTTTTTGCCCCCACTTGAGTAATGGTTGATCTAGCTTTCTGTTACAGTATAATGAAAGATGAAGTGTATGTTTAAGCCATTCAGTGTTTGCCACGCTGTCAGAAAACTGGCTCTCTGTAAGACTGAGTGTGTTAGCTTTGGTATTGAAACTATGCCCCAGTCCCCAGCCGGTGGTTCCCCACTAGTTAAAGTATAACTGAAAATCACCTGTGGAATTCCACATGTCAGGACTTTCTGGGAGCAGCTCGTTTGGATTGTGTGTGTGTGTGTGTGTGTGTGTGTGTGTGTGTTGAGGTCACACTACAGTAATGTACAAGAGACACTGGGGTTAATACACAAGCTGGAATGAGACCACAGGGAGGGAGAAACTGTATCTGGTGAGTAATTAAATGCATTTCCCACTCTTTTCCTGGATCCCACAGCTTCCACCTTCCGGGGAGGTTTGTGTGTGCCGACCCTTCCATGAACTGGACCAGGAGAGGGATGATGTGTGTGGAGTGAGTATAACCATGTCCCTTAATGTAGATTTTTCTGTACAGTATATTCATCTGATATTCTAACGGCTCTGACTGAACCAAATTCAAAATTCTGTTTTCTTTTTTTCTTTGTAGTGAAATGAGAAAGAGGAAGGGTCAGATCACCAAGCAGACGATTGCTGGCACCAGATCAGCATAAACTGATTATGTCTTCAGCATATAACTCTGCTATTTACTCATTCCTGAGACTGGAAAATATACTGGTGTTTCTGATCACATTTCACACTTAATTCACTTTAAATAACTGTAACAGGGACTGTTATGTCATTTTATATTTTACATTATATTATATATTATTTTTGTATTACATTTTTAATATTTGTTCTGTTTCATAAACAGAAAAGTGTAGTATTCTTAATACATTCACTAAGCCAAGTAAACTAAGCTGTAGTTACAGTGCTTCATAAAAAAAAAGAAAAAGAAGAATGAAAACAGTTTTTTGTTTTTTATTTTTTCCGAATTGTGCTCATGTTTAAAACTCGAACAGTTTTTGCTCAGAGACATGCAGTATGACACACTGTGCACCCACAGAATGTGAAGGTTTGATTGTCATTGATATTTAAAAGAGAGATAATAAAATAAAACATGTTAATATCAATATTGACAATGTCTGAATTGGTCCTTTCATATTTTTGATGCAACTTTGAATGTTATGACATTTAAAAAATACTTGACATAAAGGTTTTTATTTTTCATATACTATATATATATATATATATGCATATATATTAAACATAAGCTGTGCTAAAAGGTTAACTCCTCCTGTACGATCACATACTTTACATTACAAATTTCATTTTACGGTACAGTAATAAATCAGCATCAGAAGTTAAATCACAGAAATGCAAGGAAATATGAAGTAATAAAATTAATAAGGACAGAAAAGTGCAAATTCTCCGGATGGGTGCCATTAAAACATTTCAGAAAAAGAACGTGCAATGAGATGATGAAAATAAAAAAAGCACCAATTAAAGCTCAAACAACAAAAAAACAAATTCAAAAACATGATGGAAATGCGGCATTTCTGTTTGCTCCGTGTAATAATTTGCAGAAGGTTACAGACTTAACATTTCCACCTCAACCAAGAGTAAAAACTTGATGTATAGCGAGTATAATGTTCACCATCTTGATTTAGCACGTTAGCATGCTAACATTTGCTAATTAGCACTGAACACATAGTACAGGTGATGAGAATGTCATTACTTTTGCACATATTTGATCATAAACCAAAGTATTGGACAAATATGAATGTCTGAAAAAAAAATTCTGACAATCCATCCAACAGCTGTTGAGATATTTCACACGGACACAAATGTGAGCTTCTGGCAAATGGCAAGCAATATAATAAAAACAGTATTAAAAGTAATAATAATTTTAAATAATGGCTTGATGCACATGTGAAAACAAAACTAAGGTGTATTTGTTATCAAATGAGATAAATTTAATTCCTTAACTTGCCATATTTTCTACTTTTTTCACCATAAGTTGCTTTATGGTTGTTAAAATCATCTTTTCCCACACTTGTCAGGTTATGTCACATCCAGACTGCGACAGGTTACACTGGTAGTTTGACTTTACTTCGACATGGAAAAATGAGTTTCTGGTACTCAATCATAACTTGGATTTCCAGTTTGCTTGTATGGAAACGTTTCAACTTGTGGCTCCTGATTTTCCATTTCAGTTGATTAGTAGGCACAGCTGCTCTGATTACAGTGTTTAGTCAGCCCTCAGGCCGTAGAGTCAGTGAGCTCTTAATGTCACAAATCTTGTATATTATCTTATCATAATATTTAGTCAAAAAACAGCAGTCTCAGTTATATAAACCAGTGAACTACACTGGCTGTAAACCTCGTACAGGAAGGTTCACGATTTCTTTTCATCACGGTCTGTCTGACACAGTGAGCTGGAAGATGTCCTCACTGCGATCGTCTCTGGTCTTCAGAGCCTGGCGGAGTTTCTCCCAGAACAGCTCCGTGTGCTCTCCGGCTCGAGGCCAGCTCAGGTAGGTCCACTTCTTCAGCAGTTTCCTCATGCGGTAGTAAGGAGACAGCTCATGGGTGGGAATGTCCTCCAGAAAGACCATGATCAGCACGTCCTTCTGCTCGTCGAACAGACGGAAGCTAGACGGGAGAAACAAAAGATGGATGAGGACCAGATCCCAGTTTCCTCATCAGATCTCTCATGATTTAAGACAGCCCCAATCAGCTGCTCCTATCCAGACTCTTAGGTCATGCACATTCACTGCTGTGTTCATCTTCCTGTCTCACTTCCTGCTTTTGGTTTTTTTCCCCTCCTTGCCAAATGGTGTAAGTTTTCATTAGTTTGCGTTATTAAAGCCACGTCACTGCACCAGCAATGTTTGAGTTTGCATTAACAGGAAATCAACTTTCGAAATTGAACATCTCTTGGGTTTAAGATGTGTATTACTTCAGTGTTCAAGGTGACAGTTACAACAAGGTGTTGGAGATATTTTTAAGATCTGATAACCATAAATGTGTAGATATTAATTCAATATCAGCATAGATGATTAACATCAGCTTAATGTATCACACAGCTGAGACATTACCTGGCCACCTGGATCTCTCTGGAGCACCACTCACTCTCAAGGTATCTGCGACTGATCACACAGATGGTCTTCCTGCTTCCATAAATGGCATCTGTGATGTTGTCTATGATGGGTTTACCTGAGGTAAAGGTAAAACAGTCAGCCACAAAAACCATAATCACTTTTCTCTTCATGAGTTCCTGTGATATTGCAGCACAACAGGTAATATGGTGACACCTGCTGAAGTATAGGCGAAAGCACAAAATGAGAAAAACATCTGTAACAGTTTGTACTCTACACTCTTGAGGTGGAGCTAGGTCTGAACTATTTTGTATAACATGAATGATTATTAATTTCATTAATTATTTGGTTTGTAAAATGTAGGAAAATAGTGATGAATACCCATTCCAATTACCCAGAACATTTGAGAAGCTGAAATTTTTTGCATTTAAAAAAATGAAACGATTTATCATTTTGTGTATTCTGGAAAGTTCAATTTTAGGATTCATCCCCAGGGGACCTTGACTGTACCAAATTGTATGCCAATCAATGCAATAGTTATTCAGATATTTCCGTCAGGATCAAAGAAGTAAACTGACACAGCACTCAACACACTGCCATTGTCATCTCTAGAGCCACTCACATGGCTTATAAAAAGCTAAGAAAAGCATGTATTTGATCGCCGGTGCAAAGAGCCGACATCCTACCTGGCTCAAAGTCTCGATGGTGCAGACACAATCTCCAGCCCTGGTCTCCCTCCAGTTTGGGCAGCAGCTCTTGGACGACCCAGGGCTCATCATGAGTGTTGTAGGAGATGAAGGCGTCATACTGATTAGGAGCTTGCTTGTTTTTGTGTTTTGTGTCAAAGAGCAAAGCCAAGAAGAGGTAGTAGGCATAGGCCAGGTGCCACCTCAGGAAATGGTAGGTGAAGGACACCACCATAAACAGTAGGACTGTACATGTGGTGGAGATAAAGTAGATGAATTCAATGTCTACTGAGCAGGACCGGACGTCGAGTTCCAACAGTTCCTTGCCTTTAAGGTGCACAGGGTAGTTGCAGGTAAAGTTATAGGCATCAAAAACTTGTGTTTGGTTGTTGTTTTCTATCCACCAGATAAACCAGGCGTTATCGCAGTCACACCTGAAACTGTTCCCCTGAAGATCCACATAAACAAGAGCTGGTACAGACCTTATTATTTCCTCACTGATAACTGAATATTGATTCTTTCTCGCCTGCAAGAACTCCAGTTTGGAAAGGCTGGCATTTACAAGAAAATCTAGAGACCCAAGAATTGTTCTAGATATGTAAAGACTTTTAAGGTTTGGAATTGGGGAAAACAACTCTGGAGAGAGATCCCTAAATTCATTTGAGCTAAGATCAAGTTTTTGCAGCTGAGGTGTGTAAATAAACGTGTCTTTGTGCAAGGTTAAAAGTTGAGTGGTCCCGATATCGAGATCCCGCAGATTTGTCAATCCTTGCAGGAAGTTGCGAGGCAAGTCAGATTTCAGCCTGCGGTGTTGTGAAGGAATAGCCAATGTCTCCAGACGGGACAGCTGAGAAAATGGTGCATTAGGCAAAGCTGAATCGTTTTTATATTGAATTCTATTTTCCCTGAAGTCCAATCTCTTTAAATTTATCAGATCATTGAAACTACCTTTGTTTATTTCTTTTTCTGTGATAAGATTCTGCTGGAGTAGAATAATAGAAAGATTCGTCAATCCAATGAAACACCTTTTATCAAGTTGCTGTATTTGATTGTGATGTAATGACAAGTTCTGGAGGGACTGTAAGCCCCTGAATTCTCCATTATTAATGGCAGTGAGTTTATTTTGATCCAATAGCAGTAGTCTAAGGTTTGGCAGGTATTTGTTGAAGGCACCATGTAACTTGGACATTTGGTTGTTATGTAACTTCAAAACTTGCAATCGTATTAAATCCTTGAAAACACAGTCTTTTAGAGCTGAGATTGAATTCTGATAAAGGTTGAGCTGTCTAAGCATTGTCTGATTGGCAAAATCGTCACATTCAAGTTTGCTGATGAAATTAGAGCTCAGATCCAATTCTTGAAGAATCGGTAGATTCCTCGTGGCAGCTGGAACAGATGAAAGGTTGTTGCGACTCAGATTCAAGATCCTTAATCTCTGAATAGATCTGAAGGTGTTGTCACTGATGTTTTGTATTTGATTAACTGCTAAATCTAACTCAGTTACATTGATGCACAACTTAATCAAATGGGAACTGACAGAGCTGAGTTTGTAATTGCGGAGTTGCAGTTTGGACAATGTTGGGATGGAACAGGAAATGTTGATCAGCGCTGCAAGGTTTTGTTTCATTGCATTCATCCTCAGAGACGTTAGTGAGGAGTTTACGCTCTCTAGTAATGTTTTCATGTCATTTAAAGACATTTGAAGCCCGGTAATGTCAAGAGTAGACACTCGACTAAAGAAAGTCTTGTTATGCACATCCCATCTCATCTTCTGGGAAGAGCCACCGACATTAAACCAGGTCAGATTTGGTAAAACATCTGCAGTGATCTGAAAAAGTGAGATTGGATTATGAGACAAATCGAGGTATTTAAGTTGTAGTGAGCTGTTTGTCAGTTCCCACGAGTGAAAAGTGTTAAAATTGTTCTTTTGAATGTACAACTCTCGTAGCTGCGGCAGATGCTGTATTATTGAATGAACTTTTGTTACGTCATGCAGTTTGTTGTTAGAAATGTCCAGAAACTTTAAGCTTATCATGGACTTGAAAGACGTGGACGCCACAGCTCTGATGCGATTACTAGTAATCCTGAGCTCGGTGAGGTTGCTCAAACCATTAAAAAGATCCTCTCTGAGTTCAACAAGTTTATTATTATTTAGATTTAACTTCTTGAGGGAAATCAGATTGGCAAAGGCGCCGCCATCTATCTGCGAAATGAAGTTGCGATTTAGTTCTAATTTTGTCAAAACTGGTAGATTTTTGAAATCTGATATTTGTACTCTTGAAATTTTGTTTTCAGACAAGTCAAAACCCTCTACTGTCGAGGGAATATCTCGAGGAACAGCTCTGAGTTTATTCTGGGCGCATATGGCAATATTGTAACTGATTTTGCAATTCTTCATTGCAAATCCTCTGACTGGAACAACAAAACTGCTGATATTCAACAAGCAGAGAAAAATTATGAGTTGAAATTGTTTTCTTCCTCCTGTTGCCGTTGTTTC